AGAGGGGGACAGAGGATCCGAAGCGGGCTCTGCGCTGACAGCAGCAAGCCCGATGCGGCGCTCGAACTCAGGAACTCGAGATCATGACCTGAGTGGAAGTCCCATACTCAACGGACCGAGCCACCGGAGCGCCCCCCAAAACGACTGTATTTTTAAAGCAGGGATGAGTGTCAATTATTTTTTCCCAACATTTTACCGTGACTAAAATGATACTTTGATATACATGCAGACGGTAACGGGATATGGAAATCTGTGATTTTGTTAGGACCAAGTAACAGGTACTGCCCAAACTACTGTAGCACTAGATTGTCACCGTCAGACACGTGGAGGACCCAGCTCGCTGACAGCCCCAGGATCTGAGAAGGTGCTGGAGGCGGGGAAAGGCTGGATGCCAGCATCCGGGAAGGGGGGCTGTCCCAGCCATCTCGGAGAGGTGGCGGGCTGCCAGCGTGCGGCAGTGAGGAAGGACCGAAGGAAGCAGAGTCAAGAGGCATTCAGGTGCCTCAGTTTCCCCGACCGGGGTAATGGAAGTACCCTCCCTGTTGCACCTGCCCGCTCTCTGAATCTGAGTCCCGCGCAATCCCCGGAGCTTTCTCAGGGAAAGAAGTCGCGTGCCGGTCACCCCCTCCTCACCACCCATCCTCTCAGACCCCAGGAGAAGATCCCACGCCTTTCGGCCAGACTCCCTGCACATAGCCTCCTACCGGCTCTTGGCTTCTCCGGCCCCCTCAAGCGATGCTCCAAGCCCCAGGCCGGCATCGCTGCCTCGCGGCACCGTGCCAGCTCCTCCTCATCGCTGCTGCTGCTGCTGCTGCTCTCCAAAGAGCTCAGGGGGCCACTGGGCGCGGCCATCTTGGGCCACCGCGAAGGATTGTGGGGAGCGTTCCACTAGCGACCCTTCTCCACCACGGCACTAAGGGCGGAGACGCGCAGGGCATTGTGGGGATTGTAGTTCTCAGGCTCAGTCCGCCCTCGGTTCCCCCGGACTGCCCTGAGGGTTTCCTCAAATATGAGAGCTGGAAGAGCCTAAGAGGTGAACTCCATCCTTTTCTTGATGAGGAAAATGAGACCTACAGAGGAAAAGGAATTGCCTAGGTCATACCAGAACCTTGACTCCAGCCCAGACCTACCGAATCGGAACTTGCATTTAACCGTGATTGCCTGGTGATTGGTGTGCACATTAAAATTCAAGAGGCACAGTCCCGGGTGATTCTGATGCACAGTTTGGTTTTGAAAACATTCTCCAATTTTTTACCTCAGGACTTCTCCACTCAGCCTGCACATTGGAAACACTTGGGGAGCTTTTACATACTGACTCCTAGGACCCACCCAGGACCGACGCATTAGAATCTCTGCAGTTAAGATACTCTGCTATGTAGGATGAACAAAGTGACTTTTGTCTTTGGGATGCTTCTCTTCATGTTTTACCTTTGAGGCTGCGTGTCAGAAATTGTATTAAAATAAACTCTCGGGGTGGTGGGGGGGCCTGGCTGGTTCAGTCGGTAGAGCATGTGACTTGATGTCAGGATTCTAAGTTCAAGCCCCACCCTGGGGCAGAAATTACTTAAAGGAAAAATAAAATCTTAAAAACAAAAACAAAACCTCTTTGGCCTTGGGCTTTTCTATTATGAAAGAGAGGAAGGTGACTTATTCATTCCTTTTTTCTTTTTTAAACAAGAATTTTCCCGTTACAACGTGGGTACTGGGGGCACGGTCAAGAATAAAAGCCGGGGGTGGACTAGCCTGTCTACCCTATGGAAGGGAGGCAGTTGTTCTGTCCCTTAAGGCAAAAGAGGGCGGGGAATAGGTTACTATTGGTAAATTGCCCAGAGGCTGCTGAGAACCAATTATAAAGTACATTTTATATTCTATAGTAAGGGAGTAGTTCATCAGAAACCAGGGCAAAGGGGAGGAGTAAAAAGGAAACTTTTTACTGGTTGATGGGAGGAAACCTGATCACATGATATCCTCTGATGATAAAGATACTGTTCTTTTCCTCAAGTCCTTGGACCATTATGTACTGTTTGTGTGTGTGCATCAGGAGTTGAAGGGATCGTTTTACACTTCATCGTCCTCGCTGTCCTGGGCTTTGTCTCTGTCTGTCTCAGTTTCCCTGCAGTCCTCGCCTCCCAGAGTTAGGAGGCTCCAGTGAGTAAGCAAGAACCACCAGGACGGCATCAGTACCCGTAGAAAGAGATGACGACCACCCAAAGGAGAATAAACAAAGGTTATTTATTTCCAACTTGCTATTGCAAGGGAGTCAGCCAGCATCCCTCGTAAACTGGCAGAGATTCCAAGACAGGGAAAACTTTATAGTGGAAAAAAAGGGAAGGCTTCAGGTATACGCTGATTGAAGCTGTTGGCATGGGGAAGCAGTAGGCAGCTAATTAGAAGCAGGGCCTCCTCTGTGATTGGTTAGGGAGCCTATCTGGATTTTTCTGGTTGGTTCTAAGTTGGAAGTGAGGTCGAATTAGGGAAGCTGGCAGTGATCAACCAAGTCCTGATGATTTGGGGGTGCTTGCTACAGAGGTGATAGTTTGGCTTCCTGGCCTAGGGGACTGCAGAGGCTGTGGGTCAGAATTCTATTGTCATGTATGGTCTGGCCATTGTCCATCGTATAGCAAGTGTCCCACATCCCTCCTGGCGGAGCTACGCTCACTATTTACAAAGCTGGTGAAGACATGGGACCTCCCCCAGGCGAGAGCTGGAGGAAGTGGTTGATAATGCTGAGTCCCGGATTAGTTGGGCAGAAAAGGAAACTTTCCAGCTCTCTTCTCGGAGAGGATGAGGGTATCACTATCCCGGATACCATAGCTCCACAAAGACACCCAATCCTGCAGGACTTGGCCTTGGAACTCCAGCTGCTGCTGACTTGTGGGCAGCCCCTGCTTGTCTTCAATCTGCTGCTTCAGGCCCAGGATGAAGCTTTTGGGGTCAATGGCGTAGGCGTGGCTCCCACCATTGGGATGATTCACAAAGACCTGGATCTCGGGGGAGATGGTCTCCACCAGACAGATGCGGATGTTGGAGAAGACTCCGTAATAGGCCAAGGAGCACCGGCTATTGAGGGGCTGTCGCTTGCCACCAGGCTCCTGGAAGGACAGATGCTGTAGGCCTACGCAGCCCCGGCTCTGCCAGATCTTCTCTTTAACCTTCTTTATGGGTTCATAAGGGTTCACCCTGAGGATCAGATCTGAGTAACCCCACTGTTCCACGGTCACTTGGATGTCTCGTGCCCGCTGGAAGGGAGAGAAGAGGGAGAGGGGTTAATTCCACCCTCCTCTGACATGCAAAATTTCCCTTTACCCCTCCTCGTGTTTCCAACAGCAGTAAACATTTGGGTTGTGCCAACCACCTTCCAGGCCCTGGGCTGGGCACCTGTCACACTCTTCTGAATGCATTTTATTGTCACGGCAGCCCTACGACCTTGGTTCCTATTATCCCATTGTACAGATGAGGAAATTGTGGTCGAACGTGGTTAAATAACTTACTGACCATCACAAAGGTGGTGAGGAGCACCGTGGGTATTTGACCCAAGGTCGGTCAGATTTCAAAGTCTGTTCTGAACCACCATCAGCGGCCACGCTCGAGGGCCTGGGAGTCCCTGGTGGCTGAAGAACACCACCTGGAAGGTGCTGGGGAGGGTTGGACACCAGCTGATCTTTTCAAGAAGGAACATAAGCCCGGAATCCCCAAGTCTTCTGATTTTACAAGATAAAAGTTTTTGCACAACGGTTTTTAGATTCAGGAAAAACCCAGAGGCATGTATTTTTCAGTCTATCTGTGGGCCTCAGTTGGCTGGTGGGCCCCACAAAGACCTGGTGCAAACTCTGGCTCTGCTGCCCCTTTGCAGTGTGATCTTGGTTAATTAACTGAACCTGCCTGAGCCTCAGTTTCTTCATCCCTTGAGGGTAGGGGTTAAGTCTTATTTCTGCACTACTGTTGTTCCATTGCCCCTCCCCACAGCAACCCCAAATGCTGGCACAAGAGAGCTGTTGAACTGACTCGCCTGGGCTCAGCTCATGCAAAGAATGCTCGCGAGCATGACTGATTCTCCAGGGGGGTGTGGGAAAGAGAAAGACAAGGAGAACACGAGTTTGTAAGAAAGGCTGAGGCTCAGAGGGTTGAAAAAATGTCCCCGAGTTCACAGAGCTGGTGGGTGCCCCAGCCAGGCTTCCAACTTCCTGACTCCATCGACACAGAAGTATATGCTACGCAGTTACCCGCTTCCAAGCTTCAAGCCCTTGACAACCCCGAGAGGAGCCATTACCTTCACGGTCCAGCTGGGGACTGGATTCTCCTTGTCGTCATAGCAACAGTTCTGTTTCAGGCACTGGGAGGCCCTCTGGGCGACGATGTCCCATCTGTACCCTTCTGCCACATTGTGAGTGGGGTCAGCTGGATCCAGGATGACAGGCCTGCAACACAGGGAGAGGGTTCCCAGACTCTCTCCCGTCTGGAGGCCAGCAAGCCAGAAAGAATCCTGCTCAAGCGATCATCTGTTCCAACCACTGAGCACGTGCTGTGTCTGGAGCCCTGGGCGGGCTGTCAGGCCGAGAGGACCCAAGAACATTGGTGGAGAAGAAGCGAGTGGGGATGATTATATTTCCAGGAGTTCCTTTTGGGGAGAGGTGCGTGCAAGGTGTTTGGGGGGGTGTGTGTGGAGTGTTGAGATGCCCCAAGGGCATGGGTAGCGATAACAGGTACCCGCTTAGGCAGGTGGGCAGAGCTTTTGTTTTGCTGAGGCTCCATAAGTAAGTTGAAGGCTAGGGCTGCTGAAGTGCTTTGGATGATAGAAACACCACCACCACCACCAACTACTGATATTTATTGAGGCACTGGGCCACACCCTGTGTGAATTCACCTATTTTAATCCTTCTAACAATTCTGAAAGGCAGCGACTATTGTTGTTGCTGTTGTTGCTGTTGTCCCCATTTCACAGAGGAGGGAACTGAGGCACAGACTTCTTTCTGTGAGTTCTCACAGCCAGCAAATGGGTGTTCTCACCCATGGGCTCTGCCTCAGTAGAGCAGGGGTTAGGCTGCCACCAAACGTCTCTCTTCTGTATAAATGGTGAATGAATTTTTAAAGAATATTGGCTTGAAGGAGGTCTAATCGCTTCCTTAAGTGGTGTGGGGTGGCCATATGTGTTGGATGCCAAGCCCATGATTAAGACCTGGCCCTTATACTCCAGGAGCTTTGGGCATAGGAGGGAGCTGTGACTTTATCCGTGACAGAATGCAACATCCCTGCATCCCTGAAATAATCCTGCCTGAAAAAGGGGGAGGTGCCAGGCTGTCCTAGAGGGTGAGATCACCTGACCCAAAGTGACCCACCAGGTGACCTGACACATAGCGCCTGTGCCCAATGGGTAGACTAGTTCCCTCTGGGGACTGGACCAGGGATGATGCAGGTTCCTCATCAAACGGAAGTAAGAGAGGAACAGGGCAGGTGTGGGGAGAGCAGCAGAGGTCATGGGAAGAAAGAGGGCCTGGGGACCACGAGAGAGACAGAGAAAGAGGGTGTCTGCAGGTTTGCCTTGGGTCCCAGTGGCTTTCTAACCTCACATTCCTGGGCATCCTTATAATAAAAATTCCCTTCTCATCAGGAGATTGGGGTTTTCTTCCTTGTAAAGAAATAAAAAGACGCAATACTCATATAAGGGAACAATAAATATTGCTTGCAGCTACCTAGAGCTAATGTAAAGACTTGTTTCAGCTGGGCGTCCCCAGAAGTAGGTGCCAAGAGCAGGATCTGAGTGCTAGGGGTTTATTTGGAAGGATATGTGGGGAAGCACCACATGTGGGGAAGGATATGTGGGTCACCGGCGGTCAGTTCCACTGCAGGGCCTCTGGGAAACAGTGTAGCACACGTGATCCAGACAGAGTCCTCCCATCTGAGACAGGAGGGAGCTGGGGTATTTATCCCCCAGCTTCCACCAGTCATTAGGGGAGGCTGAAAACCCTCAGGCAAAGGGACCCAAGTGCTGACGCTTCAGGTTGAGCCAGCCTTCGCTGAAATGGTTGATGGCCCAGGGCTTGGGGGCGGGCGCTGGTGCTTTTCCTAGAGCTACATGTGCTCCAACGGCGTGAGCTACAATAATGAACATTTCCCTGGCATCTACCATAGGCTGCACCCCGTAGGCCCTTCAGACTCTGACCCTTACAACAGCCTGCACGGTGGGTGCCAGTTTCTCCTGTTTTCCAGATGAGGAGCTGAGGCTCACAGAGGTGAGACAAAAAGGCAGGACTGAGATGACACCTGGCTCTCCGTGATTCTTTCCATTTTTCCATGCTGTCACTGAAACGCACCGAAATGAGCTTTTGGAAGCCAGAGAGGAAAGCAGGGTGAGGTTCCTTGAGGGACAGGGAAACGCCCCTCAACCCCTCCGGGCCCCTGCGAGTTTGAAAGGTGGCCAACTTTTTTTTTTTTTTTTTTTTTTTTTTTTTTTTTAGTTTGGATACCATTAATTTATTATAAAAGAGAGACATGAAAATTATTTACACGATGAAAGATTTTGCAACTTCACTGGAACAGGCAGCTTCACTTCACGCCATTTCAATAATGATTTGTTTCAGTCTACATACTTTCCGTCTCTAAATAAGAGATAATCCATCTCTAAATAAGAGATAATCCTTGACAAGGCACCTGGGTGGCTCAGTGGGTTGAGCATCCGACTTCGCTCAGGTCATGATCTCACGGTTCATGAGTTCAAGCCCCACATCCGGCTCTGTGCAGACAGCTCAGAGCCTGGAGCCAGCCCGTGATTCCCCGTCCCTCTCCTCTGCCCCCTCTCTCACTATGTCTCTGTCTCTCTGCTCTCCATAATCCGAACATAAAAATTTTTTAGGGCTTGCTGTGGTGAAGCTCCGTACTTACTCCCATATCTCACCAGTCGTGGTCAGTGCGGGTATTCTGCTACGCGCGGAGCCTGGAGCCTGCTTCAGATTCTGTGTCTCCCTCTCTCTGCCCCTCACCCGCTCACACTCTCTCTCTGTCTCTCAAACATAAATAAACATTAAAAAAAATTTTTTAATTTTTTTTTTTTTTTTTTTTAAAGAAAGAATCCTTGTCATCTAGAACTACTTTGGTGCCTCCATATTCTGGAAGAAGAACTTTATCTCCACCTTTCACATTGACTGGTTGAATCTCTCCATCCTTTCCTTTAGATCCCCATCCACCGGCCACCACTGTTGCTTGCAATCCTTCTCCTTGAGATTTTTCTGGAAGCACAATGCCTCCGTGGATTACAATTTCGGCGGGACCCCTTTCAACTAAAACTCGGTCCAAGAGGGGAAGAAACTTTCTAAACGCCTGTTCTGCCATCACTCCGGCCGTCCCAGTTGGTACTCCGAAAGACGGCCACCTGGAGGTGTGCCCCGAGTCACTGTGACATTCCGGTTCAGTTTTACTACTTGGTAAAGCCCAGCCAATCAGTGCGACACCGCTTTTGCCTCCCTTCTCTCTCCGGTCTCCGTGGGATGTGGCGAGCAAGCAGGGGCCCAGTACCTGTCTCTTTTGAACTGTTTTCTGACAAAGCCCTTGATGAGTGGGTTCTGGAATGTGTAGTACTTGGTCCAGTAGATGCAGAGGAACTCATACTCCTGGAGCAGCTCCATCACAGTGGCAAAGCCCTCGTCCAGCCTGAAGCTCTCTTCCTCCTGGGCACCTACTTCCCAGGCGTAGATAGTCAGCAGCTCAAGGGCATAGACAGGGGGCAGCGCCGCCCTTGGGCACTTGGCTTTCACGTACTGTAGAAAGAGACCCGGGAGAGAGAGACCCCAAGATTGTGTGTCAGGATCCGCTCTGGATGGACCACAAACTGGAAAACCCAACTTCCTGTGTCAGCTCTGCCACCTACCGGCTGTGTGATCCTGGCCAGTCACTTTCCCTTTCGGGCCCTGCATGATTTTCCCGGTTTTAGACTTAAGGGGCTCGCTCAGTTGGCCCAGTGGGTTTCAAAGTATGCTTTTTTTTTTTAAGGTTTCATTTAAAGAATTTTTAAAATATTTATTTTCAAAGACAGAGACAGAGCAGGGGGAGG